AGAACAATAGTCAATGAAAGGAGAAAGTAATCTAAAGTAAAATTAAGAAATAAATCAACATGCCAGGGAATGAAAATCATTTCTCAATAATAACATTGAATGTAAATGGTCTAAACTCATCAATCAAGAAACACACTGGCAGATTGGATTAAAAACAAGACCTAACAATGTGCTACCTCCAAGAGACTCACCTCATAAGCTAACACATACATAGAACAAAAGTAAAATGATAGGAAAAAACATATCATTCACATGGATCTTATAAATAAGCAGGGGTTTCCATCTTCATATGAGTTAAAGTGGACTTCAAGCTAAAGTTAGTCAGAAGTGACAAAGAAGGACATTTCATACTGCTTAAGGAAATCACACAACAACTAGAAATGACAATCATAAACATTTTGCCCCAAACAGTGGAGTATCTATGTACATCAAACAAACCCTTCTCAGTTTCAAGAATTGAATAGACCACAACACAATAATACCGGGTGACTTTAACACACCTCTGTCAGCACTGTTTAGGTCCTCCCAACAAAAGCTAAATAAAGATACAATAGAACTAAAAAAATACAATTCATAATATAGACTTCACAGATATATATGTAGAATATTTCAACCATCAATGACTGAATAACCTTTCTTCACAGCAACACATGGATCCTTCCCTAAATAGACCACATCTTAGGTCACAAAGCAACTCTTAGAAAATACAAAAAAATAGAGATAATACTTTGCATTCTATAAGATCATAATGGAATGAAATTAGAAATAAATGACAATGTAAAAATAGAACTAATCTAACACCTGGAGACCAAATAATATGTTATTGAATGATCAATGTCTAGCACAAAAAATCAGGAATGAAATAAAAAAAAATCTTAGGAGTAAATTAGATTAACAATACAACATATCAAACTCCATGACACTAGAAAAGCAATTCTAAGAGGAAAGTTAATTGCATTGAGCTCATTCATTAAAAGAATAGAGTCAGCAAATAAATAACCTAACATTATGTCTTTAAGCTCTAGACAAAGAAGAACAAATCAATATCAAAAACAGTAGAAGACAGGAAGTAAACAAAATGAGAGGTGAAATCAGTGAAATTGAAACAAACAAAAAAACATACAAAATCCAAAAGATCAATGAAAACAAAAAGTTGGTTCTTTGAAAAAATAAATAAAATTGATAAACCCTTATTCAAGCTAACAAAGAGAAAGACAAAAAAGCTGAAATTTCTAAAACCCCTCCTATGAAGGTAGTATCATTCTGATATCAAAACCAGACAAAGACACATCAAAGAAAGAAAACTTCAGACCAATATGCCTGATGATGAATATACATGGAAAAATTCCTGATAAAACACTGGCAAATTGAATACAAAAACATTTTAAAAAGACAGTATGCATGATCAAGTGGAATTCATCGCAGGGATGCAAGGTTGATCCAACATACAGAAATCAATAAACATAATTTATCACATCTATAGACATAAAGATAAGAATCACATGATCATCCCAATAGATGCAGAAAAGGCATTTGACAAAATTCAGCATCAATTCATTCTCAAAAAACTAGGGATAGTAGGAACATACCTCAACATTGTAAATGATATATATAACAAGCCCAAGGCCAACATCATTCTAAATGGAGAAAAAATGAAAGCATTCCCTCTAAAAACTTGAACAAACAGGGGTGCCCTATTTATTACTTCTATTCAACATAGTCCTGGAAACTCTAGCCAGAGCAATTAAACAAAAGAAAGAACTTGAAGGGACATAAATAGGAAAAGAAAAACTACAACTATTCTTATTTGCTGATGACATGATTCTATATAGA